TGAATATATAGCTTTATAATAATGAACTTATAGTTCAGTATTTATGAACATAGATCTGCGTCCACCTTGCAAGGTGGACACGGTTCCACAACCTATTAAAATCCAACGTGTCAAATGGCTCCTATTTAAAAAAAACTTATCTTAATGGATTCTTATTATTATTATTATTATTTAAATTTATTAGGGGGTTTGCGAAAGATTAACAAAAAATGTATATGAGTTGTTTTAGTTTTTAGCAGTTTCGAGCAAATTGTGAAGTTATTAAATAATATTTTTGGTGTTTTGATAAAATATAAAATGTTAAACATGTTATAAATATTATTATTATTATGGCCATTATCACAAGACCTTTCATTTGCCTTATATTTATTCCATTATTTATGTTATAGAAAATGAAGGGTTATATGGATGTATATATATACATGTTCAAGGCATAATGAAAGAGAGAACTTGTGTTTTTGAGTTCTACATTCTTGTGTTATGTTTTTCTCTCTACTCTTCCATTCCATATTGCAATATTCTTCATACATACAATCGATGCGTTACCATACAACTATCACGCGAGAACTAACAAGTTGATAGGCCGAATTACAACACGTTATCAGCACGAATCGCCAACATATTCCTCGGTGAACGGTATGCTCAGACATGTTGTAATACATGTTTTTATACTAGGCAAGCATGTTCATAGGTTTCATATAATACATGTTTTTATATGGCACATGTTGATTCTACACCTCTTGATATGATTATGAAATACATGATTGATATGATACATATTGATTCTAAAATTTGAAATATGAATTGCACATACCGGTTCATATATATATGATTGTGTAAATTCCTGAATGTATATTTCCAATTTTATTTTTGATTCTTAAAATTGAAAGAAAAGCATGTGATATATATGTTTGTGTAAATAGATGGGGCTTTTCGTATGAAGATGCAATGTATGTATACATATTATTTTCATTTCTCATACTTTGTATGTTATATACCCTATGATGTAGTGCATTATTATGTTTTTATGATATGTCGTTTGCATGTGATTAGCAATTAGTTTTTGTGCCGATTAGGCTATGAATGAATGGTTTTTAATTAAGATTGTTAAAGTTTATTTTGTGGAAGCTTAAGAGTGAGTAAGACTTTAAAGCTTAATTGATGACTTGGGAGCATCAATTCGGTGTATTGGAGAATGAAACACCACTCGTTGCCTGTAGCGCGAGTTGATGCTATAAACACGAGTCGATGCTTGCTGCATCAATTCAGTGTTTTCGCACCGATTCGTGCCTTGTTGCTTGTAGCACGAGTTGATGGTATAAACACGAGCCGATGCTTGTTTCTTCAATTTGGTGTTTGCCTCACCAATTCGTGTTGCACCATTTCGGTTTTTGTGTATATTCGAAAGATCAATTTGTTTTCTGATTTTATCTTTTGACTTCATCTCGGAAAGTTCATTTTGCATCTAGAAGATGTTAGATTCCTTATTTTGCTATAAACATGTGATATTATGAATGTATATGAGAACATATGATATATGTTTTGTAGATTACGTATTCAATTGTCAAATGTGATTTTATTGAGCTCGCTCATGTCGATAGCAATTATTTCATTTGGGTTTTGGATATTGAAATATATTTTCCTTCTAAGAAATCAAGACAAAATTTTGTTGCTAAGTCACAGAGAACCGATGCCCAGAAGGCACAAGCTCTAATTTTCATACGTCACTACTTGAACTACGATCTTAAAAATGAGTATTTGATTGAAAAAGTCCCTATTGCGTTATGTAAGTCCCTGAAGGACCATTTTGACTAGTAGTCATCTATTGTCCTTCCTCGGACACAATTTGACTAGATTAATCTTAAGTTTTAAGATTATAAGTCAGTAACTGACTATAATTCAGCTCTGCACAAAATAGTCTCAGAAGTGAAACTCTAAACAAGAAGTTTTAGAGAAATATTTAATTGAAAAGACATTGTCAACTTTTCGTGTGAGTAATTTGTACTCCAGCAGTAGTACAAGACAACAAATTATGAGAAGCATCCTAAGGTGATTTTGGCACTTCTTGTGGCTAAGAAACATAACTAGTTGTTGATGAAGAATCAAAGTGCATGTTTAGTTGATTTTGCACAGGTGCCTGAAGCACATAATGTTACCTAGTTGAGTAACTTCATAAGGGGTTGTGGTCGAGATTATAACCAGTGTGGTATGAGTTTTGAGCTCAGAATAAGAAATAAAGTGATCAAGATATTCAAGGATGACCAAACTTATCGAGGCAAAATCTTAGCCAGAAGCAGATTTGCTAACAATGTGGGTTTGAAGGACATTGATCCCTACGTGCCGCACACCAAAGCATTTGGTCATCGGAGAATGAACATCATCTTGATGATTCTAGCTAATTTGCCTGAAGCAAATATTGCGATAAATTGTGATAATGAAATGATAAGGTATTGATGAAGAAATGATTAGTGTCATGATAATGTTTAAGTAATTCATGAAAATATATTCATGGACAAAAAGGTTAGCTCATGCCTGAGGCATGACGTATCCGAGAAGTAAACTAATGCTTGAAGCAACCGAGAAGTTAGTTTATGCCTGAAGCATTCGAAAAGATAATTCATGGCCGCAATAACTTATTGCGTAACCGAGGAGTATATACACTCCAAATGTGTTTTTGAGTGCAAAGTTATTTTTGGAGGCAAATTATTATGAGTGCAAAGTGACTTTACTTTGCTGATTTTTCTTGCTAATTTTACTACTCGAATTGACTATTCAAAAAGTTTACCTCTCTAAGCTTACATCTCTAAGCTTACCTCTGTAATCTTGCTGCTCGATTTACTTCTTGAAATTTTACTTTCTGGAACTTTATTTTCGAGAGGAAGTTTACTTCTCAGATTTAATTCTCTTAGTTTGCATGCTTATTTATATATGGAAATTTTTCTCATGCATGCAACATAACTCTCGTATGCAATTGACTGGCTGCTAATTCAAAATTGAATTATTATTTGTTCCATAAATCTTATATCAATCCCAGAAGGATTGCTATTATCAACAAATTATGATAATCATCTTTTGACTAAATTTAAGAAAGAAACCTGATTTTATATTCTTAATGGAAACGAAGGTTGGTAGGGATCATGCGGAATGTTTGCGTGTGCGTTTGGGGTTTAATGGCTTGTTCTATGTGGACAGTAGGGGTTTGATTGGTGGATTGGCTCTATTGTGGACGACAAATAACTCGGTTAGTCTCTTGAGTTACTCCCGGAATCATGTTGATGTAAATGTCACGCTGCCTGGTTATGATCCTTGGAGGATGATGGGCTTTTGTGGTTTTCCACAACATAATAGAAGTGTAGACTCGTGGAATCTGCTCAGGAGCCTAAGGCATCGTTCTCCGTTGCCGTGGGTAGTTTTGGGTGATTTTAACGATTTACTCTTTCAGTATGAGAAACGGGGACGTTACCAGCATCCGAATCCTCTCTTGAGGGGTTTTGGAGAGGCACTGGAGGATTGTGAATTGGGCCAAATCCCTATGATTTGTTATCAGTTTACTTGGGAGAAGGACAAGGAGACAGAGGCCTGGGTGGAGGAAAAATAGGATAGGGTAGTGGCGAGTGATGGGTGGCGGGCGTTGGTGGAGGGGACAAGAGTCTATAATATATTGACTAGAAGGTTGGACCATTCAGCGCTTTTTCTTGATATACGGCCTGACGTGAGGGGCAGGGCAGGCAATCGGGGTTTTCGTTTTGAAATGGCCTGGTTGTTAGATGGTGGATGTAGGGAGGTGGTGGAGGAGGCTTGGGGTCATGGGGGAGAGGATTTGCAGGCCCGTTTACAGATGTGTGGTATGAAGCTCCAAAGATGGGGGGGGGGGGGGGTGATCATTTCCATAAGTTTGGGGAACGAATTGCAACTCTAAAGAAGCAACAGTTGAATTGTAGGGGACATATGAGTCCGCAAGCCTTGGCCGAATTTCGCCGATTGGAGACTGAGCTGTCATTGCTTGAGAAGCAGGAGGAAGTTTTTTGGAGGTAACGTGCCAAACAGCATTGGCTCCGAGGGGCGGATGCAAACACACGTTTCTTTCACAGGTACGCTTCTGCTCGTAAACGTAAAAATACTATTTTGCGTCTTAAAGATGATTTGGGGAGGTTGGTTGATGGTGATGCATTGAAACCAGTTGTGATGAATTATTTTAGTGATATCTTTACTGCTAATCCGGCTGTGGTTGACGGGCCTGATTTCTTTGCTTCGGTTACTCCCCGTGTTACTCAGTCCCATAATGAATGGCTTAGCCGACCCTATGACCCAGGGAGGTTAAAGCTGCTTTGTTTGCCATGTTCCCTGATAAAGCCCCGAGGCCTGATGGTATGAACCTGGATTTTTATCAACAGTTTTGGGATGTTGTGGGGGTGGATGCTACTGATTTTGTCCTAGATTGCTTGAATTCGGGGTCTTTACCGCCTGGGCTTAATGAGTCGAATGTTGTGTTGATCCCTAAGAAACAGACCCCGGAATTAGTAGCTGATTTGTGCCCGATTGCCCTGAGTAATGTGGTGTATAAAATAATTTCCAAGGTTATTGCTAATCGTATGAAACCTATGTTGGGTGATATAATATCTGTATCGCAAAGTGCTTTTATTCCGGGTAGGCTTATCACTGATAACATATTAGTTGCTGCTGAAGTGGGGCATTTTTTGAATAGGAAGCAGTTGGGTAGGGTTGGTTGGGGAGCCCTGAAGTTGGATATGGCAAAGGCTTATGACAGAATGGAGTGGTCGTTTTTGAGAAAGATGCTTGTGGCCCTGGGCTTTGAGATGGGGTGGGTGAATTTGATTATGGAATGTGTTACCACCGTGTCCTATAATATTATGATTAATGGGGCATCAGGGGGGCAGTTAATCCCGTCTAGGGGTCTCCGTCAGGGTGATCCTTTGTCCCCATACTTGTTTATTATTTGTGCAAACGGGTTATCTCTGTTATTGCAGCAAGCTTAGGACATGGGGGATTTTCATGGGTTAAGAGTCGCAAGAGGGGCACCTGCGCTCTCGCACTTGTTCTTTGCGGATGATAGCCTCCTTTTCTTTAAGGCTAATGTTCAGGAAGCAGGGGTCATCAGAAGGTGTTGAACATCATATGTGGAAATTTCTGGTCAAACTATTAACTATCATAAGTCTAATATTTGCTTTAGCATAAATACTCAGCTTGCAGATAGAAATGCAGTGACAGCTGTTTTTGAAGTGCAGCAGGCAGCCAATTTCGGCAAGTATCTGGGCTTGCCGGCCTTTGTGGGAAGAAATAAACAAGCTGTGTTTGTGTACATTGGTGATAAGGTAAGGCAGAGAATTGGTTCCTGGAACAAGAAACTTTTATCTCAGGCATGAAAGGAGATTTTGTTGAAGTTTGTGGCACAGGCCATGCCGACATTTACTATGAGTGTATTCTTATTACCTGCCTCATTATGTAAAGACCTGGAACGTTTTATGAACAGATTTTGGTGGCGTAACAGGAGGGATGGTGGGGGAATTCATTGGATGGCATGGGATAAATTGAGTAAGCCAAAGAAGTTTGGTGGGTTGGGTTTCAAGGATTTAAGGGCATTTAATTTGGCCATGCTAGGCAAGCAGGGGTGGAGATTCCTTACTAATCCTCAGTCTCTGGTTGCCAGAGTTTATAAGGCCAGGTATTATCCGAAGACTGATTTTTTGAATGCCACAGTTGGTAATAACCCAAGTTTTTGTTGGAGGAGTGTTATGGCTTCTCATAGTCTAATTGTCACAATATTAGACGCAGGATAGAGAATGGAGATGCTACTTTGGTTTGGGGGGATCCGTGGTTGATGGGTGAGTCCACCCCTAAAATATTATCTGATAAGCCTGAGCATTTGGGAGAAGTGAAAGTTTCGGGGTTAATAGACCCGGTAACCTCGACATGGGATATGCCTTTATTTACTGAGCTATTTCTGCCAGATGATATTGCCCGGATTATTAAAATCCCTATAAGTCCGGCCTATGAAGATCTGTGGTATTGGCATGGGGATCCAAAGGGGGTATACACTGTGAAGGGTGCTTACCGTGAATTGATGGATTTATACCTATGCATCCCAATGGCTTCTCATCATGGAATAAGATCTGGAACCTAAAAGTACCCCCTAAGTGGAAAACTTTCTTGTGGTGTGCTCCCCACTATGGACAACTTGTTAAATAGGAGGGTAGAGGTCCCTATAACATGCCCTTTGTGTGGTCTTTGTTCTGAAAATATTTTGCATACTCTTGTGTTATGCGATTATTCTAAATGTGTATGGAATATTTCTGGATTGATGGTGCAGTGTATGGTAAGAGATGGTTTTAGTGTGTGGCTTGAAGCCTTGTTCCAGAAAGTTGATGACAATCACTTCTCTTCTATGCTGGCCATCATGTACCACATATGGAGGTAACACAATACGCTGTATGGGAGTTCAAGTTGGGGATCCCTCGTCGCGTGCATGCAAACGCCACAGCAGCCATTGATGAATGGCGTGCGACGTGTGTCCTACCGGCCTGGCAACATGATGGGAGGCAGTGGCTGGACATGCACGTCAAGCTGCAGCTGGGACCGCGGCATGGACCGACGAGGATTGCTTGCGGTGTTCCTTTGATGCGGGCTATGTGGCCGCATCTAGGACGGGTGTTTTTGGCCTCATTTTGCAGCGTCCGGACGGTGGTTTCGTTGCAGCCAAGAACGGACCACTACCAAACTGCCAGGGTCCTTTCATGGCGAAAGCGTTCGTGTGCAAGGAGGCCCTCTCCTAGCTCATAGATCGTGGTATAACGGAGGTTGAACTTCGGACGGATTGCTTGAATCTTTGTCATGCCCTTACTATTTCACCGACAGAATTTCACTCCTATGATGGTGTAGCTGTTTCAGCATGTCGGGACTTCCGTAGTTCTTTTATTTCGTGTTCTGTTATTTCTATTCCTCATACGTCTAACTTTTTAGCACATTCGTTAGCTTTAGCAGCCTATTCACAGGTGGACTCTATGACATGGGAGGACGATCCTCCTATTTTTGTTTCAGTTTTGATTGATTAATACAAGCAGCAGTTTACTTTCAAAAAATATATATAAGCCGTCTCATGGGCAAATAAATTAATAGTAATGGAACCCCATAATTTACTACATTATTCTAGCTCATACAAAAATACACTATTCTAACTCATAATATACATATTCTAACTCATAAAATTCAAAAACGTCGTTTCTAATTGGGTGTCACTAGTACAGATATGCACATCCGCTACCCTTGTACAAGGGTAGCAGATTTGAGGGACGCTAAAAGCCTTGAGCTTTCCGCTACCCTTTCACAAGGGTAGCGGAAAGTTAAATATCCGCTACCCTTCTAAATATAGAAGGGTAGCGAATTTTCTTATTTTATTATTATTTTATCTAAGCATCCGCTGCTCTTTTTACAAAAGAAGGGTAGCAGATTGTTTTTTTTTTTCTTTTTTAAAGAAAATTTCATTATTATTTTTTATTTTTAAATGCCCCAATTTTTATAAAAATCCTATTCATACTGTACATAATCAAAGATAATACTAACCATCAACACTATTATCAACAAAGTATCAAAAATAATATTATCAACAAACTATCAAAACACAATATTATCAACACTCAACCATATACAATACTTTATATCAATCCAATACTTTCAACACAATAATTAGTTATCAACACAATATAACATTTAATCTAAAACAAAAGTTACACATACTCTTCCAAAAAATATTTTGCTCATAAGTCTCGAATCCCATCTATTCCATGGTAGAGTACGAATTTCCTTCAAATACCTACAAAATAATTTAATTAATCAAATTACTAAATATTTTAATTAATAAAATATAATTTAATTATTCTATTAATAAAATATCTGAAAGCTTCTCTTCAGGATATACATGATCTTCCATGATTGAAGGATACCATTTTTCATGTCATTCAAGAAACTCTTGAAGGCCAAGACAAGCTCATGCTTGGAACTCTAGCAGGAATTTTCGGCACTCCTACACATTCGAAAGTTAGATGATAGTCTCAAATACGATTGCATATTGCTATAAATGGTTAGGCAGTCCCAAAAGGCCAAAACGTATTCGATTTCCCCCCAATGATGTCAAAGGTAACATTTCTAAAATATGAAACAAAAAAATTAATATAAGTAAATAAATAAATATATAGACATAGGAACTTCCAGTCGAAATCATAGTGTATTCATATAATAGCATTTACCTAAGATTTAATCTGAGTTGTTTCTTTACACTTTCAATATCAACCACATAATCTTCAAAACCACTTTCACAACTCTCCTATATTTAAAAGAAGCATTGCGTAAGAACAGAAAAAGACTTGAAAAAATCACACAGAAGCTTCAAGCTTATCAGGAAAAGCTGCTAACCTTAGCACTGGCTTTCCCAGGCCGAGATGATCCAACGCTCAGAACTTCACTTGGTTTCGCAGCAGCAGAGGAACTCGAAAGCTATCTTTTCGGAGCCATTGCTCTCAATTTCCTGTTTCTTTGAAACAACTGCAATACTATAGCATCAAGAGCCCTAAAAACAAAACATAAACAAAAATTAAAGGAGGAAATGTCACTCTTAAGAGCAAATCAAGTGCTAATGGCGGCACCAAACGCTCTCCCTTCTTAACGCACCATTTACTAAAATACTGCAAGCATTTGGAACAGACAGAATCCTACAACCATGAAAACAAACAAATTCCTATGTTGAAACTGTTGGACTTCCATTGCTGCCTACGAAACACAGTCATATGCATTAGTATCTGCAACCACAGTCCCACATTATATGAAAAATTAAAGAAACATTTAGGCAAGACTACTCACAAGATCACACAGAAAATTACAAAAGCCTACATCAAAGATTTAACGCACCTGCACTGGTAGAATAGTTTATAAACCAACAAGGTCATGCTATGGTTGTTCATGGTATATGGGCCACCAACGAAGCTTCTCTCCCTGCAATCAAGCTATTAATATAGTGTTCAGATACCATATTATTACAAAAAATTCAATTGTTGACACTAAGCTCTAGAAAAATCATAAATACATAATAAACTATTTTTAAAATCATAAAAATTCAATTGTATATTTGCTGATCATCAGAAATATCAGCTACCTGGGCTATTGCACAGCCACAATAACTCCTTTTGAATCATGCACTTCAATGATTAAGTCATCTCTAATTCCGTCCAGTAAGCTGTATTCCAAGACAAATCAAGTTTAACAGGCAATATTTGGCCGATACAGATGCTAGATTATGAAAACGGAATAAACAGGAAACGAACAATATATGCATTTTCACAGCATCATCCTTTAGGTAAAGCCCGCGGGTTTTTCAAAATACAGTCCCAAAATATCAAAGCCCACCCCGCCCTTTTCGCAGGGCGGGACAGGTTAACCCGGCGGGCTAAACCCATTTTGACGGCTCTAGCTTGAACACCGTCAAAGACTTCCTTGCCTCATAATTTAGACCCGTCACAAAATTTTCCACTCGAGTGGCCTCGGTAGGGACCAACACTTGAGCGAAACGAGATAGCCACAAAAACCTTTTGTGGTACTCCACCATAGTCGAAGCCCCTTGAACTCTTCATACATAACCGCCCGGACATGCAAGGATAGAAGCGTTCGAGGATTTTGTCTTTCAATCTCTCCCAACAAAATCTCGGCTCTCCTTGACAACCCGGTCCCTCATAGACCCACCAAAAATCTGCTTCATGACTGAAGTAGAAAGTTGCTAGCTCAACTCGACGTTCTTCGAGACACTCAACCACCGTGAAGATCTTGTCTAGCGAACGAATCCACTCTTCCAAGACTGCGGGGTCTTCTTCACTGGCAAACACTGGAGGTCGGTGGCTTGAGACTTGTCGGCTAATGTCACGGTTTCCATTCGGTGGCGGCGGCGGAGGAGGATTGTTGTGGTTATGGAGGAGTGCGTTGCTCAGAGTCTGCGTAACCTGAGTGAGATACTGAAGGCTCTGGGCTAGCTGTTCATTCGTGGGCGTCTCCGAGGTCCGTGCACGGTGACAAAGAGGTGCCATTGCAGGATTCTACAGAAGCAACACAATTACAGCAAGAGAAACGGAGAAGCTATGTATCCTTACCCGGTGCTCAAGACAAAAGAACTTAAACTAAACATAAACAAGCAAGAAAGGCACAACAACGATAAAGAAAGTCACACCTCACCGCGCGTCCTAAGATTCCTAAGTCCTAGATATACGAAGAAGATATTCCAAAGGCAATACAACGATATCAAAGGATTCCAATCAAAGGATTACAACGAATAGATAGGCTCAAGTATCAATTCAATCAAGAATCAAGAAGGTTATCACAAGGAAATCACACACTAGTACCAATAAGTAACATAACTAGCATGCAAGCCAACAAGATAATAACAAAGGCTCATACGAATAACATAAACTTCATTCGAATCCAACAAATCACAATATTGGATTACAACCACGATTCAAGACTCATAACCTAACCATAAGGTTCACCATACATCGCTCTAGACTTACGAGACATCAATAAAGACATACAAATACTCGGGGATCAACAAATCAAGAAGCCATCAACATACGTACCAGTGGGTAGTTCCGACGGGTGGAAAAGGTCCCGCCGAAAATCCACACCGTGCCAGCGAGTGGTTCCGGTGGGCCCTAAACCACCCGCCAAACCCCTGCTGAACAACCTTGTACCGGTGGGTGGTTCTGGCAAGTGGCAAACTGCTCGCCAGGCTCCCGCTGGTACCGAAGCCTGTAGAAGAAATTTCATCTCGGGAAAAATTCCAAGAATGTGCAATCCAAGTCCAAATACCTCAATACTCACATCAACAACAAATGGGACTTGAATATAAGGAATAGCTCATCAAATAGCATCAAATAACCCTAAATACAAGCTCTACAATAGCATAATCACAAGAATATGCATCACACTACACAAGATCATCAAGAAAGCATTTATACAAGGAAAATAGGTTTTGTTGGGCATAGGATTACCTTCTTAGCTTATCCAAATCCTTCCAACTCCCAAGATCACTCTTGCAAGTCCTCTTCAAGTGATCTTCATCATAAAACCCAAAACCCAACATGCAAAGAAAAGACTTAGATAGTATAGATGCAAAACTATGAAATAAGACTATAAACACCTAATACTTACCCTTCCTAGGCTTGGTGATGAAGAAAGGTGCAATATTGTTGGTCTTCTAGGTGGAGGAAATGAAGAACAACTTTGGTAAGGGTGGGAGAAGGGAAATGGAGAGAGAGAGGTGTAGGGATGTGGCTGAAATGTTTGAGAGTGTTTGGCTAAGTGTAGGGGTAGTGTCTCTAGGTTGTAGCTTGGGTTGCAAGTTAAGAAAATTTGAAATGTTACATGTGGGCCTCCTCACTTTTATTATAAAGGCTAGAAGGGTTTCTTTTAAATAAAAGCTAGGGTCCAAAGGTTATTAAATAAGGTCCAACCCATTGACCATACTAAAAGGTTAAGGGATTTGGGTGAAACTAGATCCCCTAACTAGATTCAATGAAAAATTATAGAAAGAATTGTAAGGGTAAATAGGAAGGTTAAATCCGTCCCTAGGAAATAATTAAGTAATTAATTTGGGTTTAAGGGATTAATTTCCGGGGTGTCACAAATTGCCCATCTGATCTATATAAAGGATCAATAATATCAGTCGGCAAATCCCTCACAAACCTCTCACCATGCCTAAGTCCGACAAACTCTAAACCATCTTCATCAGTACATTTACTCGGACTACTATTTCTGGGCATCCTACCAAGTATTTGAATACCCATGGTTGCATGACCACCCCTGTCAACAGGAGAAAGCGTCTTTGATAAAGAATGTCGAAAAGAAGGTGAGTCACCATTCAAGTGTTTCCTTCCTCTACTTGGACCCATAATAGCTCCATTTGGTGCAATATCAAAGTCATTCTGTTCAACTTCAGCATCATCAATGGCAGCAACACGCTTATGTCTAGGAAAATAGTAATCATCCCGCCGAGTAAAGCTAAAATCACGCTCAGAATTCCAGTCACAGTGTGACCTACCAAACTGGGCCGAAACCTGTCCTCTTCCACGCATGAAACATACCTTGGAGCTTTAATAAGGACGATCTCGAATTCTCTCTCTGGCATATGTATTTGAACCATCAGTGTACATTTCACATATGAAAAGAGCAAGAATAAAATCAAGTGCCATTAAACATTTAAAAAATTAAAAATAAACACAGATTAAAGAAACAGCAGCAGCTAAAAAGTATATTCACTGATTCCGACTAAGATGTAATCTCTCATCCTGAGCATCAAAATATCCTTCCCTTCCACTTCGTGATGACAATGGTCTACCCATGATAGATATGTCTTTACTAGGGAAAGTGGAATTAGAAGTCCGAGGCAAATTGATAATCCGGCTCTTAATTGCACTAGAATCTTTAGCACTATTACCATTTAGAGGTGTTTCAGCATTGGCCAAACTGGAGTTTAACTTTTCTGCTTCGTTAGTTCCATTGGCATCCTCTCTTGGTAACAATTACTCTCATATCATTGCTTGCAACTAATGATCCATCACATAAAACACCCTCTATATTTTCCTCTTGCTTATCTATTGCTCCTGCTTGATCAAAATGTATCTGTTCAGTATCATTTACAGGCATAGAGTCATAAGAGCATGTTGCTGGCACATTTTCTGATATTGAGGTCGACAAAGAACCATCTTTTCCCAAAACTTGATCAACTATCTTATCACAAATTGTGCCGCAGCCACACTCTTTTGAAGAATCATTAATTACATCATGATAAATCATGGTAGTTTCATCTTTTTCATCACAACCAGATTGGACATTATTATCATCGGTTGAAGCATCCATAGCATGAATGTCAGAATCAATAATTTGTTTTGAATCAGTTCCCAAAGCAATTGTATTTTCTTTTGTTGACTGCAATATTGGCTCCCGCACCTCACCATCTTCATAATCACCATCTTCCGTGCTACAGGGCCTACCTTCCACATCAGTATGTATAGTACAAGCATGATTGCCATCTGATTCATAATCAAAACCATACGGTTGTTCTTTTTCCATATCAACTGATATATTCATATCTGGCTCATCACTCACAGATCCCTCACAACATGCAACCAAAGCCTGATGGTGTTCATTAACTTGCTTCAACTGTGACATTTCCAAACTGTCAATTTTCACACCCTCTGGCTCACAAGCATCTACCTTAGAACAAGATGCATTCAAACCTTTTAGAGCAAAATTTTCATTTTGAATAGCTATATCTGCATTCATCTAATCTAATGCATTGTTACGAGCATATACTTATATAGTATGAACAGAATGTTCAGATTGATTTGATAACTCCCCGCTGACAGACAACTCTGAAAAGGTAGCCACTCTTGTACTCAACAGCTTTTCAGGGGTCAATGGCACTAGCAAAGTAGAAAAACTCTCTTTTGATGGTAAAACATTTCTAACAGATTGGTGCAATGTCATGCTGGACAACCTGCAACTTTCTTGTTTAGTTTCCTGTAAGGGTTCAGATTTTATAGATTTTTTCTCAATTATCTTTTCTGCACACTTGATTGGGAATTCAATAAGTTCCATGTTTCCCCTCTTAATATGCTCTATTTTCAAAGAATTACCATCTAGTGCTTTGGTAGCATTATTGCTAGATCCAGCATAATCCTGTTTTCAACTTTCATCAATAAGTTCTACCTTTACAGTTCAACATCCAATAGAATCCATGTTTGTAATGGTTCTTAGAACACTAGTACGTGGAATTGAGTCTGCCTTGGTCATTGAACCAAACTGGGCTCAAGTGCCAAATAGCACCATGAACTAACTACGAAATGTCATCCCGCACCCTAATCTTATATAAGTGTTTATTCGATTCTTAAACCAAAAAAATTTATTCACCTAGCATTTTTTACAGGTTACCCTCAAGTTAAAGGTTATAAGTTGGTGATGTGGCGCTGACTTGGGTGCGACGTGTCGTATTTAGTAGATGTGGCAGAGACGTGTATGGATGTGGCATCCATTCATCTCTTTAATGTAATAATATAGGCGAAATAAAACCTAAAAATCATAATCGCAATCCCTTTGAATGTCTGAAAATCTCCTTCTCAAAATCAGAATCGCAATCCCAAATCGCGACTTGAAACCAAATCCTTAATCGCAAATCGAAATCCGAAATCGCAAACCCAAATCGCCTAGCTTAAGCCCTAAGCCCTAATCTGTATTTGTTATTCGACACCCTAAATCCCTAATCCGTGAAGCGAGGACCGAGAAGCTCATAACATCTCTGAAGCAAAAGACGAAAGATATGGACACAGATCGACAAGCACTGGACAATAAAATTGACATGATGGAAGGGAATCTTAAGGTGTTGTTTTCTGCTTGTATTGATGCAACTCGAGAACTGAATTTAGGGCTGCAGAATGATTTTTCGGAAGCGAGCTCGAACTTTTATCTAGAAAAATTGGATGACTCAATGATATCAGATAATTTTGGTGATGATGATTCTGCACGGCTTCCTGTATTTGATCAAAGCAACTTTGAAAAGGCTGCTGAAAAGCTGCTAGTTGCTGCTAGACTTAGTCAAAATCTGAAGAAACAGTTTCAAGATGCAAATAATGAGATGGTTGAAACAACCAAAGACTTGCAGAACAAATTGAAAGAAACCAGTATTGCTTGTGAAGGAGCTTTGGAAGAAAGGGAGTTAAACAGGAACAGGATCTCTGGCTTATTGTCGGAAAACCTAGGGCTGCGATAGGGAGAAGATGTGTCTGTCGTCTACCAGGGCTGCAATAGGGAGAAGATGAATACATTATAAATAAGTCAAATTGGAAAGAAATATTTTAATCAGCTGCCACGTCAATTTTAACCGGATCCATGTCATCTAGATAACAGGGTAACCTGTAAAAAATGCTAGGTGAATAAATTTTTTTGGTTTGAGAATCGAATAAACACTAATATAAGATTAGGGTGCGGGATGACATTTCGTAGTTGGTTCATGGTGCTATTTGGCACTTGAGCCAACCAAACTGCCTCTTACTGAAGTCCAAACCACAGAAAGTGCTACCAAGACTAAGGCAAAGCGAATCATCAGGCTGGCTAGATTGTATACTAGATATCTGCTCAGAAACTCCAAAAATTTACTTCCCTTTATCATTGCAAGCACCAAGCATACTAAAGGAGCTTAAACTAGGTTTTAGGTCATGTCTAGTACTGATTTTGCTTAGAGCATCAACATTATCTGTATCTTGAAAGCCATTATCATAACCCTCCCATGCATCCATAGTAGTATTCAAATCCCAGTTTGATCTGTTAGTATCGGTATCAGGACTATCATCATTGGACCTACTGTTTGATCTTCCAATTTGAGAATCGATGGCTTTTTCTTTGTTTAAAGAAAAAGATAAAAATGATGGATCCAAATTATTAGGCATCTCAGAACCTCCTCTGTTTTGCACTCCCAAAGGAAGGTTTTAGCCCTGTTTGGTAAAAAATTGGCCTATAGGCCAATTTTGGCTTATTTGACAACTATTAATTATTTGATTTAGTTAAAATATCAATATAAATGTTTGGTTAATTAACTTTTTGCAACTCCAAAAGGCTAAAATTTAAAAAGCTACTCCAAGCAACTTTTTCAATTAGCTTTTTGAGAAAATAAATTATACCAAACAGCTATCAGCTAACAGCTAATTTACCAAACACTTTTCTATAATCAGCTAATGTTATCAACTATTTATACCATTTAATTAACACAATCAGCTAACAGTTAACAGCTATCAGCTAACAGCCATTTTACCAAACAGGGCCTTTGTCTTTGTGATCCTAAAGATAATTCAGTGTTTCCTGAATGTGTAGAAGATTGAAATTTAATGCTGCATTCTGCTTGTTTGCCAATGTTTTCCATCTTGACATTAACTGAAATGGTTTCAACAACTTGAAGGCTACTTTCAGTCAACTCTCCCTTAACACAATTATCAACACTATTGGTAGAACCTGAGCAAATCTTCGTGCTAGTGACTTGAACTTTGGATTCCAAAGGTTGGGCAGAATTAATGTTTGCCTCAGACAGTTGCATCCCACAAGGTTCCTTACTAGGTTGGCTAGACGCAACATTTGTTTCTTCAAACTTGGATCTAAAAGGATCCTTAGTAGATTGGACAAATGAAACATTCTTTTCAGCAGGCTTGGATCCAGAAGGTTCCTCCCTATTATTGACAGACGAAACATTTGTATCAGCAGGTTTGCATCCAGAAGGTTCCACATTAGGTTGGGCAACCGTAACATCCATTTCAGTAGGTTTGGATCTAGAAGGTCCCTCCATATAATGAAGGGATGAAGCATTTGTTTTAGTAGCCTTGGATCCAGAGGGTCCCTCAGGAGATTGGGCAGAGACATCAACTTTAGTAACTTTGGATCCAAAAGGTTCCTTAGTAAATTGAATAGAGGTATTATCAGCTTCAGCAGGTTTGGATCCAGGAGGCTCCTCAGTGAATTGAACAGAGGTCTTATCTGCTTCAGCTAGTTTGGATCCAGACGAATCCATGACCGGTTGACCAAAGCTAACATTTGCACCACCGGCCCTTTCTTGTTTCACCTCCAAAACAGGATTCTTGCTAGCATCAGATTTACTGGTACACCCAGCAGTATCAATAGGGTTGAAAGATGATCTCTGGGTAGAACCAGATTTTCCATTCTTTAAATTGCTTTCATCATGAAAAGAAATTGGCTCCTCAGGTGGAGGAGATGAAGGGAAAACAAACGAGAACCTTCTCTTCTTTATAGGGATACTTGTCAATGAGCTACTAGATTGTATTGCGAGCTGCATATACAAGATACATGAGTCAAATCATATTAAACCATAGGAAACTATAACAATGAAGATAGAGAAGTTAAGAAACAAATCATAAGTTAGATCATAGATTGAACCCTCTTCCTTCTCAGAAACTGGCATGCGCCCTGTATCAGAAAACTCTAAAGCTTCAATATTTTATCTTCGGTAAGTATCACTCTGTCCTGTAACACATCCGATCAGTCAAAGTCATGTAATGAACACTCTGCACGGAAAAATTTCAACACGGTTAGGAAGAAGAATAGAGAGGCTAAGCTTGACAACCATAGAATAAATGGTTGTCAAACTTTCACCAGAGAAGGAAATAAATATTTAGCCATAAAATACAAAAATATAAGAAGTAAGGTGCAATCAATCACTTAGAGAAAGCTACCCAAACCTAACAAACAGCACAAATTGAAAAATCAGCAAAAACAAAAACACAAAAATTAAGATTAACAAATTCTGATATAATCAAGAGCCTCACCTACCCAACTAAAACCTCATCCAACGGAAGAAAGATGAATTTTTTAAAAGAAAAAAAAAATACAAAATCAACTCTACCCCACCACTAAATGGGGCTGATCATCAACGAAACCTACTGATCAGAAAGTTTGTGGACACCAACCAGATCCCATTCCCAGAAGGCCAAAATAGTAGAGAAGTTGCATGAACATAGAAATCAGAGAGATATATACAGACATGTACAGATACAGACACCGCGATCCTTACACGAAGAGGGGAATCTAAGTTAAGGGGGTAAGAAAAGAAGAAAGGAAAAATGAAAACCTTTGCTTCGGTGTTAACGTAGAGCAGAGAGGGAATCTTGATAGAGGAAAGAGGATAGCTATAGGGAGTATAGGGTTGCTGGAGTTTGTGTAAATGGGGAGCCAGGGAGGGGAGTTTCTGTGTAGTTTCTTGTTTCTTATTTTAATGGCTATTGAATTATTGAATAAGATAAAAGGAGAGTGAAACCCTTATTAATGCCTTCTTTTGACTTCTTCCTTCCCACTAGCAAAATTAATTGCATCTTTTCATTCTTGTCCTTATACTTCCACTCCTTTTAAAAATCTTACCACAAAATTAAAATAGTATAATTAAGTACTCTAATTGAAAACAAAAAACTTTATTAGATCTTTTAATTCAGTAAAAATGTGTAATTAAAAATAAATTGATTTATTCAGTAGGTTACATTGATATGGTGAACACATGACTTTTAGGTGGCTCTAAGGCCATCTGCATACATGCAAGGGCACCCCTTACTTGGGATGGCAATTTCAATCCGTCCCGCAGTTATCCATCCAAATTTACTCCGTATGGATCAAGTTTTTTGGGTGATAGTGGGTGGGCACACACACACAAGTATTAGATCATATGAGTACAAGTTCTTAGGAGAAAACTAAGAATCAATCTCAACCTTACATTGATCTAGAAAAATTGAATGGACCAAATCTGATTTAAAAAAATACGATGGCATTTTCATAGTTATCACCAACTTTACCATGCAAACTTGAACACTAAAATCTGTAATTTTATGAATTCTTCAGGTTTGCACATTTAGTACTAACATTTTGCATGTTTAGTATTAAAAGATTGCACTTGCAAAAATGCGAAAGTACATTGCTGTTAGGGTTTTGATTGTAGAGTTTATGACTGCATTTTTTGTTTTATTTGGTTTAGTGATTCACTTTTTAATGCTTATCATCTAGCACTTACGGTGTAGATTTAAAATTTAGCATTTTCATTGATTTTATAAAATTTACTAGGTTTGCATATTTAGTTGTTAAAAATTGCATATTTAAGTGTTCAAGTTTGCATGGTACAGTTGATGATGATAATACAAAAATGTCATTGCATTTTTTTTTAAATCTGATCAGAACCATCGAATTTTTACAAATGTAAGGTTGAGATTTGTTCTTAGTTTACTCTTGGAGGTGTGTTCTCATGAGATCCAAAGACTATGTATGTGTATGTGTGTAGGGAAGGGTTCAAGTGCGGGTATGACTTCCCGTGCGGTTAAATCTGAGCCGTTGATCAAATCCAGATCAACGGCTCAAATCAATGAAAATTAAAAAAAAAAAAAAAACGCGTGTCTGGAAGAAAGAAGCATAAGCTAAAAATGGCGCACCTTAAGTGATAGAAACACGCACCTTAAGTGATAGAAACACGCACCATAAGTGTTAAAATGACGAACCTTAAGTATTAACATCGCGCACCTTCAGTTTATAACAATAACGCACCTTACGTATTAAAATGACGCACCTTAAGTACACAAACGACGCACCTTAAGCACACAAACCACACACATTAAGAAGGAAGTAGAGACATTAATTATAGGTGGGCGGTGGACTCCTTGGACTAGAACTGTCAAAATGGGTTTAGCCCGCTGGGATAGCCCGTCTCGCCTCGCGAAAAGGGTGGGGTGGGCTTTGATATTTTGGGACTGTATTTTGAAAAGCCGGCCCCCGCCTAACCCGCGGGCTTGGCGGGCCGGCGGGGGCCCACCAAAATTTAAATATATATATATATATATATATATATATATATATATATATATATATATATATATATATATATACTAGTATTTTTTATGCGCGATGCGCAAAAAATAGGTGCCCAATATTAATACATTATATTAAAATTTTAAATGTATTTAGATTTTAGATATTTAAATTATTCTAAATAATAATAATAATAATATAAATCATTTTTATAAATTTGATATTTATATTTATGTAATAATTAACATATAACTCAAATATTTAATGTGTATATATTATTATTAATGAAGAAGATAAGAAAATATATGGTGGATGCATGTGCATGGTAACAATAGTGGAAAAGATAACGGAAGTTATAACGGTAGGGGTATGTTTGTCCAAAATATTTTAATGTACAACCTTTATAGCATAATGTACAAAAAAATTTAACGGAAAAAACGGACATAAATTAGGGGTATAACTTTCATTCACACTTATTATGTTTTTAGATTAGATATATATATATATATATATATATATATATATATATATATATATTCAAGTTAAAAAAAAATTAGTATATACTTATTAAATTTTTTAATATTAATTTTTATTCAAATTTAAATTTTTTTAAATTTGGCGGGCCCCCGCCATAGCCTGCGGGCGGGGTGGGACGGGCCAACTAATCCTAGGCCCGTATTTTGGCAGGCTTTTTTGCCCGCCCCGCCATATGGCGGGCTTTGACGGGCCCGGTTTCGACAGCTCTACCTTGGACGTCTCAATGGCGGGCGGTGCAATTAATTCATATGGGAACTATTAATTCATATGGGAACTACATCCTGAATTCATACGTGCGGTGCATATGCAATTAATTCATATGGGAACTATTAATTCATATATGGAACTACATCTTACCTGCATGGGCAGCTCAACTAGTCACAGAGATGAAACTTTTGAAGAATGACCATGGATCGAGTCTCACCAGCGGTAGTGTGGGAGCAACTTCTCAAAGTGAGGGGGGTTGGGGTTCCCCTTTTTGGAAGAATGGGATCTTTAATTCAAATGGCTCCTGATGATTGAATTTCTCATGCTTGGTCTTTAATTGAACAAACAAAGCACCTTAAGCATTAAGCACAAAACTCACGCACCTTAAGTACAAATCTCAACTACACAACTCACGCATCTTAAGCACAAAACTCACGCACCCCACGCATCTTAAGCACAAAACTCACGCACCTTAATTACAAAAACCATGCACCTTAAAATTGACCTAGATGCAAAAATTACCAAATTACCACACGGGAACCTAATTCTCTCTCTCCCTCCGCCTCCCCCACCCCCTCCCCCTCTATCTATCTATCTATCTTATCTTATCCTATCCTATCCATCTATCTATTTAATTTTTTTATTATGTGTAATTAATTAAAATATTATTTTTTAAAAAAAATAATAAGATGATAAGTGGTGGGTACCCGTAGTTGTCACCCATATCCGGTAGGGTGGGGGTTGGTTTTGAAAAAGTCCACCCAATGCGAGTTAGGGTGGGGTGGATAGAAAAAATATAAGGTAGGCTAGGTGACGGATGTAGCCTTCTCCGACCCATTGTCATCCCTACCCCTTGTAAAGCCTACGTGGCTTTAAAATAAAAAATGACATGTTGCTACTAATTTGCAATTCTGACGTAATGTTGCAACTCTCGTGTCAAAATTGCAAAGAGGAGAGAGACACTATTATATATTTTATTATTATTATTATTATTATTATTATTATTATTATTATTATTATATACTATAATTTGCACCCGTGCGATGCACGGAATGGATTTGTTTAGAATATATGAATTTATATATAATTATTTAAATTAGAATATCAAATATTATATAGTGCAATTAAAGATATGGTTTAGATCGTTTATATATTTTGATGATAATATTTCTTGAATTTGTGCAAATAATTGCTCAAATTAATAGCTAATGTCTAGATGTACGCATGCGGTGTTATAACTTTAAAAGATTTTTTTTATCATTGATTAGTATTTTCATAAATTAGGCAAATGTGCTCGTTCTCTAACAGCTCAGTTATAGAAATAAATTGTTATCCTTATTCTTTTGTATATAGTTTTGTTTGGATTATTATTATTATTATTATTATTATTATTATTATTATTATTATTATTATTATTATTGTTGTTGTTGTTGTTGTTGTTGTTGTTGTTGTTGTTGTTGTTATTATTGGTGTTGTTGTTGATATTATTATTGTTGTTGTTGTTGTTGTTGTTATTCTAATTTGATTATTTGACAAATGCGTCAAAATTTTAAGAAATCCGTCTGTTTAATATTTTATATTTAATCAAAATACCAAAAATATTATTGTAAATTTTGATGAGCCGAATGTATTTTTGAAAAATCAAGTAGTCCCCATTTTTATTCTATTTGCGTCAGTTTGAGTCTATGGAGTATGGTGCACCCATATCATGCAACCCATGTACAAATCTGGAAAATCACAAGTTGATTTTAGATGTTAAGCGGGATTATAGCTTAACACAATTATGATGCGGATAAGTCAGCAAGAACCATGCTAGAGGAGTTGGAAGAAACGTGTGTGAGCTATGCCAAATGATCTTAAGTGAAGCATTTTTAAGCTTGGGAGACTAGCTCTAACCGTATGGGAGACTAGCTTAGACCGTATAACCGTATGAGAGACTAGCTTGGACCGTATAACCGTATGGGAGATTAGCTTGGACAGTATGGGAGACTAGCTCAAGGTCAAGTATATTGGACCGTATACCGTATGGGAGACTAGCTCAAAGTATACCAAACCGTATGAGAGACTAGCCTGACAGACTAGCTAAAGGAGACTAGCTAAGAATATGGGGACTAAGTAAAATGCTCAAGTCTCACAAAAGCCATGCACCATATGGAAAAACACACCAAGTGTGGTGAACCAAGCTAGAAATTCGAAACAGAGCATCTCACCATGAACAACTGTGAAGTTTTTACAGAGGTTCCAGTATATTATTTTACAAGGATCATGAAGGAGAAAATAACTGATATAGTTTCATCTGAACATCAAGTTTTTACGGTGGTACCGGAGACGCTCAAAGAAGGCTGATTCGCGGAGAAATTATTTTATACTCAAGCAAGAATCAGCAGATAAATTATTTGATCAACTTGACATGTCAGAGTATTTATGAAGAACCAGAAATGTCAAAGATTGCCGCGCCGAACTTATTCAAATTTTGG